AGTACGGAACGAAATGTTCGCGATAAGGGTGTTAATTAGCGCTATACGTTCAAGGCGAAGCGCGATGGAACACAGATGAAACTCGTTATGAATTCAAAAAGGGGTAATGAAGCAACCATATCTGTCCATGCGAGGTTTGTCCTGTCCCAGTCGAGCTTTACACCTTCCAAAAATTCATCTAGTTTGCGGAGCTATAGTTTATGAAATTGTATACTATCTTGATGGATAATTGGAATTCCTTCAATCTGGCCTGCCGTGTATAAAGACGACCAACAACGTGACTTCGTGTTAGCTGAGACGTGTGCAATGAACAGGTAATTGCAGACCGATATCTGTCTGTTCACGCACCCCTCGCGCGCGAGCGCGAGATTTCGATTCATCTATTAGTCGATCTCTTAATTATTTATTATTATTATTATTATTATTATTATTATTATTATTATTGTTATATTCTTATATTTGTCATACCACGTTTGCTACTATAGTGGTCGTTATACGTGTGTGCGTGTGAGCGTGCGTGCGTGCGCAGGCGTGCATATGCGTGTGTGTGTGTGTGTGTGTGTGTGTGTGTGTGTGTGTGTGTGTGTGTGTGTGTGTGTGTGTGTGTGTGTGTGTGTGTGTGTGTGTGTGTGTGTGTGTGTGTGTGTATGCGCGTGGCAGAACTCAACTGTTATTTGCAAGTCAAGTCAAGTATTCTTCATTTGAAATGTAATACGGCGCGAGGGCGGGTGACGCAATGTGGCAATTCCGTGCGCGTAAAAACTACTAGTGCACGTAGATTTATTTCCTAGGTAAATAGTACGCTGAGGCCACGCGTATTCGGCAATAAAATCTTCAAAATATGCTTTTAGTATACAGATAAACATATAGCGGGGGTATGAGTGTAGAAAATGATAAATGTAGCGGATGTAAAATCTTTAGAATATGCTCTTAGTATATAAAGATGATCAGATAGCGGGCTTGTGAATGTAGTAAAACAAGCGATCTCTCTAGAATCCAAAATACACAGCACGCACCAACGGTGTTCCTTGATTTCATCTGATCCTCGGTGTTCACGCTCGCACGTACACAGGGTGGCAGGTCGAACTGCACCAGCGAGAAGCAGTGTCCGAGGCTGACCTGTCCGAAATCGGCGGCCGTCGAAGTCGAGGGACAATGCTGCAGGGTGTGTCGCGAGCAGAGCGCCGAGATAGTAGCGTCGACGACGGCGGGTACGTCGGCGCCGACATCGTGCGATTATTACGGACGCACGTACGCTGACGGAGAGACGTTTCCGACGAACAGTACGGCGCTGGTTGCGCGCAAGAAGAACCAGTGCGTGCAGTGCGCGTGTACGGTAAGCATATTCTATAGTGCGTGCAGTGTGCGTGTACGGTAAGCATATCCTATAGTCACTGCACGCACTATAGGATATGCTTACCGTACACGCGCACTGCACGCACTATAGAATATGCTTACCGTACACGCGCACTGCACGCCGCGTGTACGGTATGCATATCCTATAGTGCGTGCAGTGCGCGTGTACGGTAAGCATATTCTAGCGCGTGCAGTGCGCGGGTACAGTAAGCATATCCCATAGTGCGTGCAGTGCGCGTGTACGGTAAGCATATCCTATAGTGCGTACAGTGCGCGTGTACGGTAAGCATATCCTATAGTGCGTGCAGTGCGCGTGTACGGTAAGCATATCCTATAGTGCGTGCAGTGCGCGTGTATGGTAAGCATATCCTATAGTGCGTGCAGTGCGCGTGTACGGTAAGCATATCCTATAGTGCGTGCAGTGCGCGTGTACGGTAAGCATATCCCAGCGCGTCCCTTACGTGAGCGCGCGTACGTGCGTGCGGGTATGCCACGAGCACGTACACCCGTATTTGATATTTTCGTCGTATATGAACGCAATTGTACGCTAGCATGCGTCCATGCTATACTTGTAGGCCTACGTGCGCGTGTTGTGCGTGTTTGTTCGCGCAGGTTTTTGTAGGCGCGCTTTTTGATATATTTTTGTTTGTTCTAATTTAATCGAGCCTTTGCAAATATCTGCTCTGTTTTGGTTGAATATATAGACAGTTCGTCATTGATAGATTAGTCACTATTTTAGGGATAACGGGGAGTCTTTGCCTTCCAGAACAAGCGTGTGTTGTGCCATTTGAAAACTTGCCCGGAGTTGAAATGTCATCGGCAAATTTATCTATCGAGTGACTGTTGCCCGGTGTGTCATGGTAAGTTTTGTCGCTCTTAAGCACAATACATAAGCCACAAACTATTATAAAAAAATTATGTAAAATTTTTTTAGAGGCATATGTTTATATTTCTAATGCTGCTTATAAAACCTATGAACTATTTTACGTGTGTATATATAGTCGCATTGTGTCCTAGCTGCATCGTCACATCTATTCCAGTCTGTTCTGCTTGCATCTATGACAAATACGACATACGGCGTCATACGCATATACGCTCTCCTATTACACTATTTGTCATAGGAAGATTCTTCCTATGGCAAATATTGTTGTATGTGTTGTGCGCATCATAGGAGTTTAGGAGCGCTATTATGAACGCAAGCAGTGAATTTTAGCTGTAAAGCGGAATGAAGTTGACTCGCCAATATTTGTCATAGAAAGAATCTTCCTATGACAAATAGTGTCATAGGAGAGCGTATATGCGTATGTCGTATTTGTCATAGATGCAAGCAGAACATGTTGTCTATTCACACAAACTACCCGCCACTATAACTTCCCCCTCAAAAATTCCGCTACGCATAACCGTGTCCGCACCGATTCTAAATGGCCCCGCCATTGTCTCGGCAGCTCCGTCACCTCTAATGGCCGTAGACTCCGCACAGGTGCGTTTCACAGGTGAGAAAAGCAATCAGTGGCTACCTGCCGTCACCTCGTACCGCCGCAGTAAACGACCGATGTGGCAGACGATAGTTAGAACGAGAAAACTCCGCCTATAAACGCAGACGGAACACGGACGCGTATAATCGACTCTAGTAGGCAAATTAGCGGAGACAGAGAGCCTGGGAGTGGCCTCGGTGACGGGACAATGGCGAGACAACCGCGGTGAATAGCTCGTCCCGCATTATGCGTATACCGATACGTAGATCGGTTGCGTGTCCTCCTTTATGTAAGATCGCGTGTGCGTGTGGCATTGGGATGTCGGCTCGCTGCCCATGCTATCTCCTTCATCGTCTATGTCCGTCTGTCTCGCTGCCACGTTAGTGTGGTTAGATGTCACACTCCACTTGCAATGGCCAGACCACGTAGTTAGTGTGAAGGCACTATCACACCAGACTTACTCTGAAGGTGCTCCACTCGCTATGTCCAGACTATAGTTGGTCTGGGAGTGCTATGAGTGAGCTAGGGGACTTAAACTAGTTGATGGTGTGGAAATGTTGTTTTTGACAAGTACTCTTGCTGTTCAACGTAGCAGGGAAACAATCTCGTATGCGCGTGCGTTGGTATTTTACATCTTTAATGCAAACGTGTACTTTTTCTTGCAGACATGGAACGTACGAGCGAGATAAAATCGGGGGATCTGGACCCACCGCTACTCGTTGTCAATGAAAAACTTCGGGAATCTTCCGATAGCAGTGTTCACAGCGGTACTCGCTTTAGATCATATATGTGTAACGTATTAAAGAGAGAGTGGTATATCGAGAAAGGGAGCGAGTGAGAGAGCGAGCGAGCGACCGAGAGAATCAGAGAAAGAGGGAGGGTGGGAGCGAGAGCGGGAGAGAAAGAATGCGAGTGAGCGAGATATAGTGAGTGAGTGAGTGAGTGAGTGAGTGAGTACATATATATCTACGCGTTGGTTTAAGGGGAACTTTGTTTAAGGGAGGTTGCTTGCACGCGAGCTACTGTTTTAGAAGGGAATAAAAATTGTTTGCTTTGCGTGTCGCCATAGACAGGAAAACTGATTTAATTGGACAGGAAAATTGTTTTCCTTCATATAGGTGGGTGTCTGGTAGCTATAGCTCGATCGATAAACTACCTATATTGATTGTCGTTGAATGGCTTCTGATTGAGACTGTCTGACTGTAGTTCGATTGCTATTTAAGTAGATTTATTATGTTTGTGATTGCCTGGATATGTTGTTATTGATTATCATGATCTGGCTGTAGTTCGATTGAAATTTAAGTAGATTTATCATGTTTGTGATTGCCTGGATATATTGTTATTGATTATCATTATCTGGTATCTGAATTATTATTGTCTGACTATGGTTGCTCGACATCTTTGATGATGTCCTAGCACATGTTGCGTGTTACTATATCGACTAATGTGCGTGACCGCGTTTGTTTATAGTTGTAAGCTCTAGCTTGACATCATCGCTATTGAACAGGCGAGTGATATCGTAAACAGTACAGAGACATTATTGCAAAAATGCCGAGCCGAGTCAAAACAATCTTTTATCTTGATTCCGGGTGTATGTTCGGCAGCAGCAGACATTTAGTTCATCTTGTGAGCAGAAGCCATAGAGGAAGATAAGAGGCTGTTGCGATGCTCACCAGCATAGCTGGGCGTGTAATACTTCTAGTGTATATTTACTTCAGTATCTCTACTCTACTCTAGTATCTCTAGTATCTCTAGTGCGCGTGTAATACTCTAGTATCTCTTTTAATATGAGGCAACGTAACCAGGGTTTGACGCCCGTGGAAAATCGTATACGTTCGTATGCCGTAAATCGTATATAGCGCACATGCTCCACGTACAAAATGAAGATTGAATGAATGTGAAGAAATATAGGATTATATACAGTGCTGATAATATATACGGGTATAGGTTACGATGGCGTATGTTGTTCATATTATTGGTGATGGAAACGTGATATTTTTCGTGTACAGGGTCACATGAGCCAAGCGGCCGCACTGAGGAATATTCTGCTCGCACTTGCTTTCCATCTAGTCACGTGTAAACCGTCAGGTGAGTCCATCTCTTTGCTACCGATAGCGCGTTACCGTCGATTGACATATGTGATGACACTGGCCAATTTTGTTTTGCTGACTGCATGGTGCATGTCTGCTTCCTGCGTCTACATATACATCTTTCTCAACGACTTTTTCAACTAATTTTGACGTTTTGATATATAACCGTGGTTAACGGATACGTTCCTACAAATATATTGCGACCAGTTGCACTTTTCCGCGCGTCCTTATGTGTTTCTTTCTATTCGAAAATATATTTTAACAATTTCAAGCGCTCATTCAATTGACTGCTGAATACACATCGGGTAAGATCACTCTATAATTTACTCTTCGCACGATAAGCCATAGGAAGGGCCCTTCAGAATTTCTCGTGTACGCGGTACATTATATGGGCGTGGTGCAATATAAACTTCCCTCGCAAAACACTCGCGGGGTATATGTGCGCAACTACAAAAGACCCACCGCAAAGCTCCGTGTGTCGCTAGGTTTGATTTGACTGTATGTGCGACGCCAGTGTTGTAATCTAAACGTGTACGTTTGATCAGAAGGAAAGCAATCCCGCGTTAGCTATGAGAGTTATTAGGCCTAAAAAATACGTTCGTTTCTGCTAACCCGACCGAGTCCATTTTAGACCGCCGTGTCAAAACTTTTTATTGTGATTGGCAAAAAAAAAGAATTTTTAAATAAACAAAATCCCAACGTGATATCGATCGGTGAATGCATTGATTTGACTTTGAAGTCATTATATGGGCTGTTAGTGTTATAAGTATAAAACAAGTATTGTTAGAATCATAGAAATAATATAGATAACCTATCTATAGGTTATCTATATTATTTCTATGGTTAGAATACAAAAAATAAAAAATATTTGATAAAAAAAGTTTTGCCTGCCTACCGTGTCCAATTTTTTCAGCTCGTTATACCCCCGTCACACCGGACGGCGACCATCCGCGACCGTACGGCGACCAGAAAATGTACAAGGTCGCCGGCAAACGCGAATACAACGCGAGAAAAAGTCCCAACAAATTACAAACTTGAAAAAAACCGCGCTCTTACCGCGACCTGTGCGATCATACCGCGTTCTCACGGCGCGCCCGCCACGACCTCTCCGCGCTTATGGCGTTTCTATTGAGATCTATGGGCTTAGCAACGGCGATAAACGGCGTTCCCGCGGCGCTCTCACCACGCTCATGGGGTTCTTACCACGCGTCTTCTACGTGTATCGCGACTGCACGGCGACCTCACGGCGTTTCTACCACGTTCTCACGGCGACTATATAAGCTGGTCAGATTTTCGGAAATTTTAACTGTATAGTTGTGCGTTTGCTGAGTAGAAACACGATGCCGAAGAAACAAGCTACCAGAGACCGAGGCCGTGGTCGTGGCCGAGACAGATCGGCATGAAAACAGATCGGCAGATCGCATGAGACAGATCCATGAATTCGCCGTTGAAAATGTTACCATTTTCGCAGCGTCTTTGCCACGCGTGTACTGCGCGTGTACTACGTTTATGGAGATGTTACGACGCTTGTCTCACGACCTTCGTGACCCCACCGCGTTCTCACGGCGTTCCAGGTCAGATCGCCGAACCTTGGCGTTTGTTTTGAACATGCTCAAAACAAACGCCGTGACTCGGCGATCATTGGCGACCATGGCGACCACACCACGATGTCTGGCGTTTCCACCACGCTTATACCACGCTTATGGCGACCTTGGCGCGCTCTGGGCCCATTTTCCGTCGCCGTAGCAGCGCAGTAAGGACGCCACCCCGGTGTGACGGGGGTATTAGCGGAAACAAATGTCTTTTTTTAAGCATTAGCTGTGGGAAATTGGGCTTGTGTATGACTGCCAAGCGTGCTGATGCACATAGCCACGCACCGCCTCGCACTCACGCATGCGTATCTACACTCTAATGAGGTCCACCAGAGTGGGTGGATAGCGTTGAATTGTTCTGCCATCTAATTTAAATGTAATGTGTGTATGTATATTAGAAAGAGAAGCGAGAGCACGCACATACACACGCAAACACACACACACACACACACACACACACACACACACACACACACACACACGCACGCACGCGCGCGGAGCGTAGCGTAACGCCCACAGGGAGGGAGAGAGCAGAGAGAAAAGGGTGAGAGAGAGAGAGAGAGAGAGAAAAAAAGGAAGCTGGATATGGAAACATTGGGATGGAGAAGAATGAGAGAGAGAGATGAATAAGGAGAGCACGGGTATTAGGAGAGAGGGAGAAAAAGTGTGTGTGTGGTGCGTGTGTGCGTGCTGTGCGTGCGTGCGTGCGTGGTGCGTGTGTGTGGTGTGTGTGAGAGAGAGAGAGAGAGAGAGAGCAAGAGAGGGAGCACGAAAGCGCAAGAGAAAGAGAGAGAGAGAGAAAGAGCAAGAGGGAGGGAGCACGAAAGCCGCAACAGAAAGAGAGAGAGAGAGAAAGAGCAAGAGGGAG